AGGAGCTTTTTGAGATCAAATAGAAGAAAATACATAACATTAAACATGTTAACAACACAAAAGCCATATTAAACGCAGACTACTTTAGGCCCGGAAGTAGGATTCGTCGCGTCATCACTGAACAACCGGATAGTTTCACACGCACACAAACACACACAGTTTAGACATTTAGAAATTTAAAATACATAATTCCAATCTTAAAGTGATATACGGTCTATGAACTGTCATCAGCATTCACACCTCACTTTGAGGAAATGCATTCTCTAGTTTTATGTCATTTTTTTGTGTATATTTAGTGACTTTTATATATAGTGTCTAAATTGTATGACTTGCACTCTGGTCAACTGAGTTTGTTTAAAATATGTTATAGGAATAAACTTTGACTTGACCTGACATTTTGCTGCTGTTATGCTTCATGACATAGCCTACAAAATGATAAGTCAGTGGAGTTCAAATACATTGCTGTTTGTGAGAAAACCTAGCCCCCTATAAGTACAGCTTTTGGTCTGTCTGAAAATTCACAGTCTAGGGTGAAATGAAGAAGAATGGAGCAAGGAAGTCTCTCTCACTCTGTCTCTCTCTCAGAGTAGCTGAACCCAACCCCCGACTATCTCATTAGGAAAATGAGCTTTCCTAAACATTAAGAGGTACAGAATTCAAACCAGGAACCGATGTGTGTCAGAACTGCCTTCCGCCTCTACCATTAAATCCAGTGTTAACCTTTCTCCTCCATCGAGCAAAAGGAGTAACAGAGGCACTTTTTAAACTGATTTCTTGGTCAGGTTTAATGTTACTGACACAAAATCCCCACATGTACACATCAGTAACATCCACTTGTGCTTAATTTAATGTCTTATTTGCAAGTATCGATAAAAATTATGCTTTTCCAGATTGTATTTTTGTTTCAATGTATCAAAACTAATTAAGTTCCCGTCTTTAATCAGACTATCAAATGTAGGTAATCCTTTAGCAGACCAACTTTTAAAACTTGAGTCCAATTTAAATAAAGCCAAGTTCCAATTTAAATTCCCTCACAACATTTCTCCATACATTAAGTGTACATTTCACCCAAGGGTTGTAGACCTTGTCTATATATTTTGGAATGTTTAAGTCCGTCAGGACAGCTTGTATTGGAAAAGAAAACATGCTCTCCTCAATATTTTTCCATTGTGCTTTATAGCTTATATCACACCAGTTAATCACAGTCTTCAACTGAGCAGCCCAAAAATAATTTTTTAGTGACGACAGCCCCCATCGTCCTGTCTTTTATTGTAATTGTAAAGTTTTAAAACAAGCCCTTGGTCTCTTCCCTCCCCATATAAATCGTGATATAATTTTGTCCCATTCATTAAATTGGCTTTGATCAATTTGTATTGATAGTGTTTGGAATAAATATAGTAATCTTGGCAGAATATTCATTTTGATGGATTCAATTCGTGAGTATAAAGTTAGAAAGGGAATCATGTTCCATCATTTGATATCATCCACTATTCTCTTTTGCAGGGAACCAAAATTCTCCTCAAATAATTTCGTTAAGTCTTTAGGTATGACAACTCCCAAATATTTCAATGATTTTGCTTGCCATCTCATTGGATATTGAGCAACCAAGTGAGCTGGGGGGCTATAGTTATAGTATTTGAGTTTTGGACATATTAATTTTATACCCAGAAAGTTTCCTAAATTTTTGGCATAGATTCATCAGTTCAGGTAGGGAGTTTGTGGGCTGTTCTAGGTATATTAATATGTCATCTGCATAGCAAGCAAGCTTATGTTCCTGTTCTTTAATGTTTATTCCCTTGATGTCTTTGTTTTGTCTGATTGATTGTGCCAGAGGTTCTAAGAATAATCAGAATAAAAGTGGAGACCAAGCGCAGTCTTGTTTATTTCCTCTTTGCAGAGCGAAGCTATTTGAGAGATAACCATTAACTTTAATTCTTGCAGTAGGGTTAGTATATAATGCCTTCACCGTATCAATAATTCTATTATGAAAGCCAAATTTGTTCAAGACTTTGTAAAGAAAGTGTTGGGTCTAAAGTCAGACCCCGCTGTATCCAGGACTTATTCCCATGAAAGAAAGACAAGGCAACAGTGTTCGATCGATTTCTTGCGCAAGGGAGGCCCTTCCATCTGTGACCAGCACGTTGAAATGACCACACTGGTGGCCTCCTCTCGCCGCCTTTTATTGACAAACTTCAAACAATAGTTTA